CAGAAGATGGTGAATGGTGTCACGGCCCCTGAGGAGCTGGGGGAGCAGCCCAAGGACGCCGACCCAGCCCGCGAGCCCCACGGCCAGAAAGGTGAGCCTGGCTGGCACAGGGGTGGCACAGAATCCCTGCTGCCACCTGTCACTCCCCCCCATGACACCCATCGCTTCTCTGGAGATGCACCAGCTGTGGAGGTGAAGAGCCTGGACCTGCTGGCAGCACTGCCCACCCCTCCTCACAACCAGACCGAGGATGTCAGGTGAGACCCTCTTTGTGGTGACCCTCAGAAGTGATGTCAGCCTCTCCATGGGTGACACCGGACCCTGTGGTCCCTGACACCTCCACCCCCACAGGATGGAGAGTGACGATGAGAGCGACTCCCCCGACAGCATCGTCCCTGCTTCATCCCCCGAGAGCGTCCTGGGCGAGGAGCTGCTCCGCTTCCCACTTCTCAGCGAGGCCAAGCCAGAGCTGGAGGAGCGTGTGCTGTCCCCCATCATCCCCATCATCCCCCGGGCCAGTATCCCAGGTGGGATGGGCTGGGGGGTGTGGGGGGTCATGTGGACTGGGCAGGAGGGAGTCTGGGATGTGCAGCAAAGGGAGGGGGTGTGGAGCACATGCATCAGGTAGGAAGGGATATGAATGGGGCAGGATGGGGTTCCTGGTCTAGGAGGGCTGTAAGGGAGCCAGGGGAAGGTGTGGGATGTGAAGGAAAGGGATTTACAGGGTGGTGGATTCCCTGCAGAGATCTGGGGCTGTTGGTGGGGCTGGGTTTACACAGCTCTGAGCCTGACCCCCTGCTCCCCACACCAGTGTTCCCCGACACAAAACCCTATGAGGTCGCAGAGCCCTTTGGGGCCCCACCAGGGAAGGTGGGGTCAGCAGGCCCTGGAGCCCCGTGGGAGAAGGGCAAGAGCAGCGAGGTCTCCGTCATGCTGACGGTGTCTGCAGCAGCTGCCAAGGTGAGCGAGGGGATGGGGGGATTTGGGACCCTTGGGGTCCCGGCAGTGACCCAACACAGTGGCACCTGTGGCGCTCTGGACCCATCCTGCCTTCCTCTCACCTAGAACCTCAACGGGGTGATGGTGGCCATGGCCGAGCTGCTGAGCATGAAGATCCCCAGCTCCTACGAGGTGCTGTTCCCCGACGGCCCTGTGCGAGCAGCTGTGGTCGAGGCTAAGAAGGTGGAGAATGATATGGCCGGTGAGTGTTCACCTTGTCCCCACGGCCCCCGGTGCCCCCGGGCTGGGACCCCCGTGACGGGCTGTCCCTCCCTCTCCCAGGAATGCTCGGAGGGAAGGAGAAGGCGCTGGCTGGGAAGGTGCCGGACAGCAGCTCTGAGTGGCTGAAGCAGTTCGATGCGGTGCTGCCCGGGTACAGCCTCAAGGGCGAGCTGGACCTCCTGACGCTGCTCAGACAGGTCAGTGGCATGCAGGGATCCCTGCAGGGCTGGGACACTGGGAGGGGGGTACTGGGGTACCCATGGGGCTGTGGCTGTGTGGGGCTGCAGGAACAGAGGTGTGTGGTGGTCCCTGTCGGTCACCCCATGATTGCAGGGAGTTTCCTGGGGAGCTGGGTCTCCCCTGGGTCTCCCAGGAAGGAGTCCAGGAGGACCTTGCAGGGTTGGGAACATGTGGGACGCCTGTAGGGCCAAGGACCCCTCCCTGCGATGCACAGGGGGGTTGGGGGTCTCCGTCCCTGTAATGTTCTGATCTGTGCCCCCCTCCCCACACCACAGGAGAGCCCTGCTCCTGAGAAGACCCTTCACCACTGCTATGTCAACAACGTCTCCAACCTGGACGTGCGGCAGCTCTCTGTCCTGCCCCAGGAGCCCTCGCCCCCGCTGTCCCCCTCCGTCCCCTCCCCATCCAGCCCCGCTGAGCCCACCAGGGTCCCCGACCCCGAGGCGTCCCACGAGGCAGCCCCAGCCCCAATGTCACCGCTGCCGCCAGCCCCCTCGCCAGCCCCCCAGGAGGAAGGGGCCGCAGCCGCCCACTCCCCGCCCCGTTTCAAGCCGCGCTCGCGGCCTCCGGAGGACGGGGACGAGGCGAGGCCACGGCTGAAGAAGTGGAAGGGGGTGCGCTGGAAACGGCTGCGCTTCCTCGTCACCATCCAGAAAGGGGGGGCCAAGCGTGACGGCGACAAGGAGATCGCAGAGTTCATCGACAAGCTGGGCACCACGCTGCGCCCCGAGAAGGTGCCGCAGGACCTGCGCAAATGCTGCTTCTGTCACGAGGAGGGCGACGGGGCCACGGACGGGCCAGCCCGCCTGCTCAACCTTGACCTCGACCTCTGGGTCCACCTGAACTGCGCCCTGTGGTCCACGGAGGTGTATGAGACTCAGGGAGGGGCCCTGATCAACGTGGAGGTGGCCCTGCACCGCGGGCTCCTCACCAAGTGCTCCCTGTGCCAGAAAACCGGTGCCACCAACAGCTGCAACCGCATCCGCTGCCCCAGCGTGTACCACTTCGCCTGCGCCATCCGCGCCAAGTGCATGTTCTTCAAGGACAAAACCATGCTGTGTCCCCTGCACAAGCTGAAGGGGCCCTGCGAGCAGGAGCTCAGCAGCTTCACCGTGTTCCGCCGCGTCTACATCGAGCGGGACGAGGTGAAGCAGATCGCCAGCATCATCCAGCGCGGGGAGCGGCTCCACATGTTCCGCGTGGGCGGTTTGGTCTTCCACGCCATCGGGCAGCTGCTGCCACACCAGATGGCCGATTTCCACAGCGTCACGGCCCTCTACCCCGTGGGCTACGAGGCCACGCGCATCTACTGGAGTCTGCGGACCAACAACCGCCGCTGCTGCTACCGCTGCACCATCTGCGAGAACAACGGGCGCCCAGAGTTCGTCGTGCAGGTCATCGAGCAGGGCCTGGAGGATCTTGTCTTCTCCGACTCCTCGCCACAAGGTAAGGAGTTGGGAGATCCCATCCAAGCTTTGTCCCAGTGGCTGAGGCACACCAGAGAGTGGGGTGGAGGAAGGTGACTTGAGATCCCCATATTCAACCTGTGGCACTCAGTGCTCTGCTCTGGTGATGAGGTGGTGATTGGTCACTTGGACTCAATGATCTTGGAGGTTTTTTCCAGCCTAATTAATTCTGTGGTTCTCCCTTCCCTTGGCAGCTGTCTGGAACCGGATCATCGAGCCAGTGGCGATGATGAGGAAGGAGGCCGACATGCTGCGACTCTTCCCTGAGTACCTGAAGGGCGAGGAGCTCTTCGGCCTCACGGTGCACGCGGTGCTGCGCATCGCGGAGTCGGTGGGTCCCGGGACGGGCGTGGAGGTTTCTCCTCCATACTGGGGGTCCACTCTGCTGGGGAAGGGCCCAGTGGCTCCTCTGCTGCTGCCTCTTGACCCCCGGTCCTTCCCTGTCCCCTCTGCAGCTGCCGGGCGTCGAGAGCTGCCAGAACTACCTGTTCCGCTACGGGCGCCATCCTCTGATGGAGCTGCCCTTGATGATCAATCCCACCGGCTGCGCCCGCTCCGAGCCCAAGATCCTCACCCACTACAAGCGGTAAGCAGGGCTGGGATCCACCGGGAGAGCTGGGATTCACCGGGAGAGCTGGGATCCACCGGGAGAGCTGGGATCCACCGGGAGAGCTGGGATTCACCGGGAGAGCTGGGATTCACCGGGAGAGCCGGGAATCCACCGGGAGAGCTGGGATCCACGGGGAGAGCTGGGATCCACCGGGAGAGCTGGGATCCACGGGGAGAGCTGGGATCCACTGGGAGAGCTGGGATCCACCGGGAGAGCCGGGATCCACCGGGAGAGCCGGGATTCACTGGGAGAGCCGGGATTCACTGGGAGAGCCGGGATCCACCGGGAGAGCTGGGATCCACTGGGAGAGCCAGGATCCACTGGGAGAGCTGGGATTCACCAGGAGAGCTGGGATTCACCGGGAGAGCCGGGATCCACCGGGAGAGCTGGGATTCACCAGGATGGCTGGGATCCACTGGGAGAGCCGGGATCCACCGGGAGAGCCGGGATCCCTGGGGATTCCTCAGCTCTAACCCCTCTCATCCCTCTCCTCGAAAGGCCGCACACCCTGAACAGCACAAGCATGTCCAAAGCCTACCAGAGCACATTCACGGGCGAGACCAACACGCCCTACAGCAAGCAGTTCGTGCACTCCAAGTCCTCCCAGTACCGGCGCCTGAAGACGGAGTGGAAGAACAACGTGTACCTGGCGCGCTCCCGCATCCAGGGGCTGGGGCTCTACGCGGCCAAGGACATCGAGAAGCACACGATGGTCATCGAGTACATCGGCACCATCATCCGTAACGAGGTGGCCAACCGGCGGGAGAAGATCTATGAGGAGCAGGTGGGGCTCAGCTGGGATGCTGGGGGCTCCTGTGGGGACTTGGGCAAGGTGTAGAGGGACCTGGGTGACACGTTGGGGACTCTGGTGGAACGTGGAGGGACTTAAAGAAAGACATGGGGAAAGTCAGATGAAACGTTGGGGGCTTGGATGGGATGTGGGTGGACTTGTGTGAGATGTTGTAGGCTCTGGCAGGACATGGGGGGACTCAGGCAGGATGAGGATGTGGAGGGACTTGAGAGGGATATCAGAGGTTCTGGTGGGACATGGAGGCTCTCAGGTGGGTTGTTGGGAGCTCTGGTGGGACATGGAGCAGCTCAGGTGGGTTGTTGGGAGCTCTGGTGGGACATGGAGCAGCTCAGGTGGGATGTGGAGGGACTCGTATGGGATTGGAGGGTCTGCAGTGGGATGTGGGGTGGTGGGATATGGGGACCTCAGTGCAGCCCTCAACCCCCTCTTGTCCTCCGTGGCAGAACCGCGGCATTTACATGTTCCGCATCAACAACGAGCACGTCATTGACGCTACGCTGACAGGGGGCCCGGCCAGGTGAGCGTGGGGGGCTTTGGGGCGGTGGGATGGCCCCAGAGGGAGCCGTGACATCCGTCTGTCCTGACCCCCCTCGTCCCCCAGGTACATCAACCACTCGTGTGCCCCGAACTGTGTGGCCGAAGTCGTGACCTTCGACAAGGAGGACAAGATCATCATCATCTCCAGCCGGCGCATCCCCAAGGGGGAGGAGGTCAGTGAGGGGCTGAGGGGGTGCTGAGGGGGTCCTGGGGGTCCCAGGGACGGGGGCTGGAGGGTGGCAGGGCTGAGCTCCGTGCTTTGGGTGACTCCTCGCTCCCTCCCAGCTCACCTACGACTACCAGTTCGACTTTGAGGACGATCAGCACAAGATCCCCTGCCACTGTGGAGCTTGGAACTGCAGGAAGTGGATGAACTAAACTGGGAAACAGGAGCTGGGGGCTGCCACCCCCGCCTCAGAGACCTCGCCGAGCCCCCCAGGGCTGCAGGAGGTGCCAGGGGCGGCCGGGCACTGAGGGAGAGCAGCGGCTGCAGCGCTGCCGGCCCTGCCCGAGCGGGACGGACGGACAGATGAACTGGCAACTCAGGGTTTTCTTTGCTTCGTCCTGCGAGGAAAAAAAAAGAAAAAAAAAAGAAAAAAAAAAAGAAAAAAAAAGGAGTGGGGGGGCTCAGAAATGCCCCCTTCACCACCCCCTGCCTGCATCCCTTGTGGGGGAGCCACGGGGGAGCAGCGCCAGGCCCGACGTGGCCGGAGCGATTGTGCGGAGCCGGTCTGGATATAACGATTATTTTATTTTATTTTATTTTATTTTCGTTTCTTTTTTTTTTTTTTTCCTCTTTTTTTTTTTTTTTTTTTTTTTTTAGAAACTAATAATATTTGCTCGCTAATTACCAAGGTAACACAGACTCCTTGAGCTCGACAATCCGGGCTCTGCCCCGCCGGCGTGGCGGCCAGAGCTCGCTCGGTTCCTTTGATCTCTTTTTGTTTGTGTGTGTGGACGAGACC